CCTATGAATTAAATTCATAACCATTTTTTTAGATAAGGGCTGTCGAGTAAACTTGGTGAGCGATCTTTGATAAGCGATATTTGAATTCCTTAGGCTTTAATAATTATAAGACTAAATTTAGAAATTCTTTTTTTATCTAAAAGCCTATATTTTATTCTATAATTTAGAACAAAAATCTCAAAATTTTAATAGAAAACAAAAATGTTATTCTAAAATCAAATAATGTGTACCTGGTTAGAGCTGTCCGGCTGTCGAGCGAACTTTAGTGAGCGATATTTGAATTCATTGCGTTTTAAGAATTATAAGATTAAACTTAAAAACTCTTTTTTTATCTAGAAGCTCATATTTCGTTCTATAATTTAAAAAGAAAATCTTAAAATTTTAATAGAAAATAAAAAAGTTATTCTATGTGTTAATAATATATATCTATTTTTTAATAAGGGAGGCGCGAAAGGGCGAGATTTTGATGATTGCGAATGCTAATTTATTTATTCGCGATAAGTTAATTAATCTAATTAAAGAGCGTAGCGAATTCGAATTTATAATTAATTATATATATAAATTTAAGATTTTTAAACTTAGCTCTATCTTATTCTATTATATATACTAATATAAATTAATATAAATTTAAAAAATTTATCTTTATTATAAAGATTATAATTATAATTATAAATCTTATAATATTAAATATATTAGTTATTTAAACATTTATAAAAATAATAATTTTTTTAATTTTTATTAATAATAAAGAAATATTTTTTAAATAAGTTATTAATTTTTTATAATAGACTAATAAACTAATTAATATAAATCTATAACTTATTTTTATAGATAATAAAAATAAAAGATTTTAATTTTTAAATAATAAAGTTAAAAATATCTAATTCGCGAGATTTTTTTTTTAATTTTTTTTAAATAATTATAATATTAATATAGCTCTTAATAAAATTATATAAATTATTTTTATAGCGAGTCTTTATTATAATATAGAGTTTATAATATACTTTAATTTATATTATAATATCTATATTAATAATAGCTTTAAAAATATCTTTTATAAATTATTAATTAATTATAATTTTTATAATAATTGCTAAATAAGAGATTAATTAAATTATATTTATTTTAATATAATATTAGAGATTTAATAATATAAAGAAATCTTATATATTTTACTTTTATTTATAATAATTAAAAATATTTTTAAATATAAAAATTTAATAAAGTTAATTTAAATTAATTAAAAATTTAATATTAATATATTTAGATATAATACTATTTATAAAGAATTAATTTAATTTTTAAAATATAATAAAATAAAAATTTAATAAAAATTTAAATTTTAAATTATAATATTATAAAGTTTAATAAAATAAATAAAATAGATAATATTAATAAAAGTAACTTTACTTTAAACTCGAAAAACTCTTTATTTAAAATTAATTTTAATAATAATTTAAAAATAAATAAATTTAATATAATAATAAAATTAGCGTAAAAAATTAAAATTTACTCGCTATCGATATTATTTATATTAATATATATAAAAGAATAAGATAAAGCTAAGCTTAAAAATCTTAAATTTATATATATAATTAATTATTAATTTAAGTTTACTACGCTCTTTAATTAGATCGATTAATTTATCGCGAATAAATAAATTAGTATTTATAATTATTAAAATCTCGCCCTTCTACGCCTTCTTTATTAAAAAAATAGATATATATTATTAATATATAGAATTACTTTTTTATTTTCTATTAAAATTTTTTTTTTTTTTTTTTAAATTTTAAAGCGCTATTTATGCTTTTCGAATTTTTAAGTATCTTAAAATTTAATCTTATAATTATTAAAGCGCAAGGAATTTAAATATTGCTTACCAAAGTTCGCTCGACAGCCGAACAGCCCGCTCATCAAAGTTCGCTCATTAAAGATCGCTTACCTATTCACTCGATAGCCCTAATCAAAAAAATGATTATGAATTTAATTCATAGGCCTTTACTCGTTTAAAATATTTATAATTATTTAAAGTATATAGAGAAAATCTCGCTAAGCTCTAAAATTAGCTCGATATAATTTAAAATATTATTAATTTTTTTTTATATCGCGATTTATAATATAATTAATAATATTTTAGAAAAATAAATTTTAATTTATAAATACTAAAAGAAAATATAATATAAATATATAATAATTTAATAAAAAATTATTTTTCTTTATATTTAAGAGAGATTTTAATTAAATTCTATTTTTTATATTATTATCGCGATTATCTTAATTATTCTCTATTATATTTATAATATAATATCTTCTATTAATTAACTCTTCTATTAAAAAATTTAATTAAGATTAAATATAAAAGTATTTATAATTTTATTTTACTCACTTATTAAATCTAATTAAAACTTCTTTATAAGATTATTTTATTTTTATAAGTATAAAGAATAATTACTCTTTATTACTATAATAGAGAATAATTTCTTTTTATATATTAATATATTAAACGAGTAAAGGCCTATGAATTAAATTCATAATCATTTTTTTGATTAGGGCTATCGAGTAAGTAGGTAAGCGATCTTTGATAAGCGAACTTTGATGAGCGATATTTGAATTCCTTGCACTTTAATAATCATAAGATTAGATTTAATAATTCTTTATTTTTCTGAAAGCCCATATTTCGTTCTACAATTTAAAAAAAAAATCTCAAAATTTTAATAGAAAACAAAAAAGTTATTCTAAAATCAAATAATATGTACCTGATTAGGGCTGTCGAGCGAACTTTAATGAGCGATATTTGAATTCCTTACGCTTTAATAATTATAAGATTTAATTTTAGAATTCTTAGAAATTCGGAAAGCATAAATAGCGCTTTAAAATTGAAAAAAGAAATCTCAAAATTTTAATAGAAAATAAAAAAGTTATTCTATATGTTAATAATATATATCTATTTTTTTAATAAGAAAGGCGTAGGAGGGCGAGATTTTAATAATTATAAACGCTAATTTATTTATTTACGATAATTTAATCAATCTAGTTAAAAGATATAATAACTCTAAATTTATAATTGGTTATATATATGAATTTAAGGTTTTCTAGCTTAGCCCTATCTTATTCTTTTATATATATTAATATATAATTTTTTTTTAATATTATATCGTTTTCTTAGATTAAGTTTTAATCTCTATTATAAAAATTATATAATAAAATATTAATATCTAATCGCTTATTATTAGTTTTTAATATAATAAAATATAAAAATAAAAATATATTATCTCTTATTTTAATATATTTTATTTAATATAGAGAAATTAATAATATTTTAATAATTATAGCGGTTATATAATAAAAAAGTATAAATTTATAATATTCTATTATAGTATATAATAGCTTCGATATTATATAATTAAATATAATATATTTTAATTTATTTAAAATTATTTTATATAAAAGATAATATAAGAGTTTATATAATAAATTATTAATATAATATACTTTATTAATATATTAATAATTTCGATATAACCTCTCTTACTCGCGATTCTTATCTTTTTTATTAAAAATATATTTAATATATATTATTTAATTAAAATAATTATTTTAAAGTAGAAAATATCTATATTATAAAGATTAATAAAAAAAAATCTTTATAATTATAATTATTATTATTTAATAAATATTAATATAATAAATATATTAAAAGTAATTATAATTACGATAGATAATAGATAGATTATAAAATAATTAAAATAATTATTAAATAAAGCTTAAGCTTATAATCTATTAAAATATAAGATAAAATACTTAATTATATTAACTATAGAGTTCTATAGAAGAAAAGAATAACTAGATATAAATACACTAAGGCGTGTCACGTAACCATATCACGTGACCGCCAAGACGCCAAGAGTCACGTGATCTGAATTTCAACAGATACGATTAGAGTTATTAAAAGAAAAGAACGACTTAATATAGATACGCTAAGGCGTGTCACGTAACCATATCACGTGATCGCCAATACGCCAAGAGTTACGTGATCCGAATTTCAACAGTACTAGCCCGAATGCTAATTTTCTAGTTTCTCAATGATTAAGAAGATAGGGGTAGAGTAGGTACGAGCAGAGAGAGCGGATCTGTCAACACGCCAACAGCCATTGCACGCATTTGTTGGTTGAAGTCAGTGATTCGGAAATCAAGAAGACAGCATCATGTGGTCAGTGCTACTCAGAACCACATCACGGCTTAAGTGCCAGGCTGTAACCTATCTGCAGCAAGCACATCCTCAACGCTCAAGTCTCCATAAGGTCCCCATGCTGTCAGCACCCAATCTGAAAGTTCGCTCAGGTTAATTTCAAATCTTCTGATTCTCTGACCAGGTCGCAAATGGTTCGACTGCGCAGAATGCCATCAAGAACAAGAAGACCATCAACTACTGCAAAAATTTGATATGGTACTGACGGCGCAAGCCTGCATGTGCCTACGTACTCTAATCGAAGATTATAGACCTTTGCTTGTAAGAAATGCAAGAAGTGCTTTCGAAAAGACGCCCAAGAATTCGAAGACAGGTGGGCGTTTGAAAAGCGAGTATGGTTTCCTCATTGGCTGACCCCTGCGGGCAGTGACGAGTATTGCCCCCACTGCGACAACCACTTCGTGCTCGATGCCAAAACACCAACGCCAACCCTTAAGTTTGAGGGTGCAGACGCTCGCGTAGACGCTCGCATGCTTAAGGACGATCGAGTGAAATGCGAGCAGCAGCGATCGACATTCGATGTCAAGGATGCCTCGGATAGACTTGGATGACCTCTTGGCTTGTAGGTAGTACAGAAGATCAAGCTGGTTTGGGTTATATTAGCGGCGTTCGGCGGAGTTTTCTCAGAGACTGGCGTAGATTGAAACATCTAACGGTCTTTGGGAACGAACTTCTTTGAGATGGAACAGATTCAAGGCAAAAGTTAGAATTACACTGCTCGCTATGGAATATCAGGACGCACTTGAGACAATTAGCTACCAGATGCACCCGCATCGCTTCTTGTGAGGATCGCTGCCGTGCCAGTACCAGGCGTGCGTCCCGTCTTCTTCTTCGCTGCCTCCTCTTGCTTCTCTGCCTCTATGCTCTTCACGTATGATTCGATGTCCTCTACAGGTAGCATCTCAATGGTCTTCCCGGGAGCCATGATGGCAATCTCGATGTTCTTTGCCCCCGTTTGAACAACCTCCAATAAAGATTTGACGGTCAGCTTGACTGTTTCTTCTCGGTCCATGTCATCCTTGTGGTTTCGCTCTAGGAATTCGCGAACTGTTTTGCTGGACCTCCCTATCGCATTGGCTTTCCTTCGCAGTGTCAGTCTCTATGCAGAACCTCAGTACTTGCAGTAGTCAAGAGACCTACCACGCGGAGTAGATGCCTGAAGGTTCGGTTTGATAGAGTCGCGGTGTCGTGTCTCCCTTATCAAAACCAACAATCAAAGTACTGATTCCAAATGGCCTCACACCTCCGCTTTGTGTGTATCGCTGTTGTACGCCAGCAACATATTTCGTAATGTATTCGATTGTAACCGGATCCTCGACAGTCAGACGATGCGACTGTGCTTCTAACCGAGCTTTGTCCACCAGTATGCGAGCATCAGCGTTCAGGCCGGCAAAAGCGAGGCAGACGTGCGTGTCCACAAGGCCGATCTTTGAAGGGGTAATGCGAGTATCTTGTAGCTTCATGGCGGATCGTTTTTCGCAACCCAGCACCACAATGTCTTTCCCTTTGACGCCAACGGCACAAGTCCCTAATCATTCGTCAATGAGACATCACTGGGACTTGGTCCCGTCTCGACTATACCTCGTTTCACAGCCTCCAGCGCATATTCAACTTGGAACACATGACCATCCGGACTGGCAGAGAAGCCGTGAGTTTTGGACTCGGCCCTTGTTGAACGATCAGATCTTACCTGAAGACTTGAGGAACGTCAGCTTGCTCATCAGTAATTTAACGAAAAGAATGCTTACCAGACAGTGCTCTGTCGTACCCCGAAGCCATATTGTGATGAGGGTGTGTGGCTCTACTGTGACATAAAAACTCTAGAGAAGCTCTAAGGAGGTTTAGAATTTGATTTGTAGCAGCTCTACGACTGAGTCAAGACCATGGGATGGGGGAGTTGAGTAAAGTGAGTAGGTAGAAGCATGGCGCGTTCTTCTTTGGCGCGCCTGCCGCGGCTTGGCATATCAAGACATGAGAAATGTACCCCCGGAACTCACAAGCGTGGCCGCTTTAGAGTGAGCTAGTACTCTCTTACCCTGCAGTACTTATTCATCCTATGATAGTCTCCTATTCTACGATACACTCTGCCTCTGCGATGCCTATTCTTCTACCCTACGATACTTTCTTATCTTACCATCTGACTCTATCCTAAAAATATTCTTCTACCCTACGGAGGGTGGCGCCAAAAGTTCTGGACAGCGCTAGTAGAGCCTTAGCCCTAATTTTCGAAGGTGACCTCGTACCCACTAGCTGAGGTTTAGGGACTTGTATTAGGTCTTATGGGGGTAGTACCTTAGGGGCAGCGGACCCTTAAAGCGTGCGCAGTTTTAACGGGGTCTGAGCGTGTTGTCCAGGCAGCCCCCCACCCAGGCGGGATGTTCTGAATTAATGGTACGAATTTTGCGTAGAAGCATAACGAAAGTTGCAAATATCTGTTGTCAGTATCGCAATTGTAATCTATCTACGATCACGCAGTATTGCTTTTAGATATTAAACCCTCACGATCCAATATAAAGGCTATGCGATCGTAGCTGTTTGCCCTCGCCCATATCACCATCCTACATACTCCTTGAAGGGATTTTTTTTGGCATACTCTCAAAGATCTTATGAAAGGTAGACCAATATATGAGTCTAAGTTCTCGCTCGCACAAAGTCTTCGTTTGTGACCGAGGTCCAGCCGTTAAGATACATTTGAGCTATCTAACTCGAGTCCGTTCACAATTGCTTCAAAATTATATTTATTTGAATATATAATATTATAAGTCAATTTTTATCATGGTTGGATGGTGTAGTGTAAGTTTTCAATAATTATTTCACTATCTCTTTATCTACTAATATCCTCGTTAGTGGTTATCACAGTATGCTTCTACCTCATTTTCAAAATATCTATGACTTAACCGATCTGCAGTCTCCTTAACATTGAATGCGGAGAAGGTCGCGGGTTCGAATCCCTCTCTAATCAATTTTTTTCCCCATCAAATAACCTATTTAAGCAACTCTGTTACTCTTAATATACTAAACTTACTGTCTACTAAAAACGCAAATCAATAATACTTCTCAAGCTACGAACAAGACAGCCAGAGAATGATCAGGTCCTGGGCCGTGGACTAGAAAGAATGACAAAATCATATTACCTCAAGCGATATCACGGCTGCTTGATTTACGATCGAGGCAAACATTTGATGCTGACGAGATGATGATCCTATCTCGTAGATGGACAATCAGTGAAGAAGCTGAGAGTTCGATAATGTTTGGATGTTTCGGGAAGCGAAGTAAGTAGAGAACATGTGCCTCATTTTTCAAAGCTTTTTCAAGTTTCAGTCTCTGAGAAGGCCATTTCCGATACTAGAATCTTGGCTCTTAAGATCTTGGTCTCCATGAAATTGTCAACCATGTTGAGGATCTTTCGGACTACCTGCAGCTAAGGATAATTGAGTACTGGCGGTGTAGCCTTGATGCATAGTAAATAAGTTTGTATAAATGTCGTACGTGAAGGCATGCTGATTAGCATGCACAGTAACCTTGAATACACGACCAAAACCTCCATCAGCTAATTCGTCAGACTCAGTGAAAGGCAAGACTGTTTCGCCTTCAAAATTCCGATGATTACGACCTTTGCGAAAGGGCGAAAATGGTCGTTAAAGTCTCCAGCCGCAGTGGCAAGAGCATTTGGTCATTTTAAATAAAAATCTGCCATTGGAGTATGCAAGTCTCTAGAAAAGAAGGACAAAATTTGTGCACATTAGCAGTAATACTGATGACAGCATAAGCCATGTTGAGACGGTTTGAAATCAATCTTGTACAAATCATACAAGCCTGATGGACATTCGATGCCTGCTGCATTAAAAATAACATATGCACGGATAACCCAAATTTATCCAGCTCGTGCGACATTAGGGCGGCGGTTACCCTAGGCCTAATAAGGGGAAAGATCGGGGGTACATTTCGTACTTCAATTTCTCCGCAGTGAGATCACCTCTGTGCTTGCAGGCTTGTGGTCCGCAGCACTTGGTCTTCTACCGAATCAGAGATGGTGACTACACGCTTGAAAACTATCTCATGCAGTCGGAGTCTCACGGCTTCACTCTCAGGACTTCTACGCCCAATATACTTGCTCCGACCATATCCAGGGGCCCAAACCCGGTGGAGCTCCGCCACTACCGAGCCCCGTCAACCGGATGCTGATGGCGGTACCCAAGGCGGACCCAGTCCTCAAAGTCATATCAAATACACCTCCGAATCGTAAGTCTCACCAGCGACACTGCTCTCACTGGCGCTAACACATGTCGATCTAGATATCCTGAAATCAAACGGGATAGCAAATTCGGCAAGGTATGAGGAAGTCGTGACGCCCAAGGCATGCCTCCAAAGACTGAAATGAAGATAGCTTTCTCAAGATCATGTCCAATTTTTCAGACATTTGTTGGGTGCTCACTCAGCCGTCATTGATGGAGTCTCTCAGGATGCAACCGATGATCTAGAACCTTTCAACAGCGACTGGATGCGGAAATACAAGGGACATACAAAGCTCGTCATTAAGCCTGGCTCGACGGATGAAGTCAGTAAAGTGCTGAAATATTGCAATGACAACATGCTGGCTGTTGTACCACAAGGCGGCAATTCGGGTCTTGTGGGCGGCTCGATTCCTGTATATGATGAAATCGTGATCAACATGTCCCGTATGAACAACATCAGAGACTTTGACGAAGTTTCTGGTACTCTCGTCGCTGATGCGGGATGCATCCTAGAAGTCGTCGACCACTTTTTAGCAGAAAAGAATCATATCTTCCCTTTGGATCTTGGTGCAAAAGGCTCATGTCACATCGGAGGTAATGTGGCTACCAATGCGGGTGGGCTACGTCTACTGCGGTATGGCAGTCTGCATGGAAACATTCTCGGAATCGAGGCAGTGCTCCCAGATGGCACCGTGATGGACGATCTGAGCAAACTCCGTAAAAATAATACGGGCTACGATATAAAACAACTTTTCATCGGTGGGGAAGGCACGATAGGTATCATCACAGGCGTTTCAGTTCTATGTCCGCAGAGGTCGAAGGCTGCGAACGTGGCTTTCTTTGGCCTCGAAAGCTTTGAGAAGGTCCAAGAAGCATTTCGCGCAGCAAAAAGCCAATTGTCCGAAATTCTTTCGGCGTTCGAATTGATGGACCGGCAGAGCCAGGATTTGGTTCATGCAGTCACGGACAAGAAGCGCCCGCTGGAAGGCCAACACCCATTCTACTGTCTGATCGAGACGAGCGGTTCGAATCCCGACCACGACAGCGAGAAATTAGAAAAGTTTCTTGAGCACGTAATGAGTGAAGAAATCGTATCGGACGGCGTCCTTGCTCAAGATGAGACTCAGGTACAGTCACTGTGGTCCTGGCGCGAGGGTATCCCCGAGTGCTTGGGACACTGGGGTGGTGTGTACAAATACGACCTCTCGATACCATTGCCAGAGCTTTACAAACTTGTTGAGGATACGAGGGAACGTCTCACATCCGCTGGTCTTGTTGGCGACGACGAGAAATACCCGATAGTCGGTGTTGTAGGTTATGGCCACATGGGAGACTCGAATTTGCATCTCAACGTTGCGACAAGAAGGTTTGATAAGGAAGTTGAGAAGAAGCTGGAGCCGTTCGTATACGAGTGGATTGCTAAACGCAACGGCAGTATCAGTGCAGAACATGGCCTAGGCCTTGCTAAAAAGGCATTCATTGGATACAGTCGAAGTGAGACTATGATACGGCTAATGAAGCAGATCAAAGATCTTTACGACCCTGTAAGTTTAATTGGACAACTCTTCGACTGCTCGGTGACTAATCCCACAACAGAATGGTATCATGAACCCATATAAGTACATTTAATTAAGGTGAATAGTAGGATTTGTCTGGCCAATGTCGGGGCAGCTTTCTTGTACATGCTTTGCCATACCGTACTAAGGCGAACGATGCAAGATAATTCCGATGGCATTATTGGAAGTCTTGAGTCCAACCGTATTTATTTGTGACTAATAAGAACCGTCTATACGTTATTATGAAAACGACTCCCAAAGTATTACCATGGGTCTAAGGGGATTCGTGGAGGAACAGCTACTAGAGGTACTCCTCCAGGGGTCTGTAATAGTTTCGAACACCGAAAAGGATTTGTCGCCGCAACGTAGCGATGAGTCCACTCTGAACTCACCTAAGAAGAGAAGTCGCAGTACGAGTTGTAGAAATGAAGGAAGTCTTTACTTTAATAATCAAACGATTTGTTGAGGGAGGTATGGCTGTTGGAGAAAAGTTCTGCGGGGGGGTCGCTTAGTCATTGGGCTGATTGTTGCCGTGTCATTTAGCTCTGTTTACTTATATCCCAGTAATCAATTTCGGCAACTTCAAAATTGGATGTCAAGCATTACCGCACCTTTGCACAGGACTTCGCGTTCCTTCGTACACTCTTGACCTCGATTAGACGGGACCTTCGTGTTCTACCTGTTTTCGTAATGGACGAAAGCGCCATGGCGAACCAATATCAAGTCCTCGAAGAGCTCGGGAGTTAGTGATACCCAGAAACTTCCCTAAAGCATGAGCTAATCCATTGTTCTGATAGGTGGAAGCTTTGGAATAGTTTACAAAGCAATTGAGCTCGCATCTGGCGAGGTGGTGGCCATAAAACATGCATGCACCAACAATAGCTACGCATCCGAAACGTTGACTAACATGCTCCCAGATTGATCTCGAATCCAGCGATGACGACATCCAAGACATACAACAAGAAATCTCCGTGCTCAGCACTTGCGACAGTCCTTTCGTTACCCAATACAAGACGAGCTTCCTGCGAGGTTACAAATTATGGATCGTAATGGAGTACTTAGGCGGAGGGTCATGCCTAGATCTAGTAGGCCCCTTCGAAAGCTGCCGTTTTCGAAGCCGCTGCTGACATGTCCAGCTTAAACCAGGTCCATTCAACGAAGGCCACATTGCAATCATCTGCCGCGAGCTACTTCTAGGACTCGACTATCTGCACCAAGAGGGGAAGATACATCGTGACATAAAAGCCGCCAATATACTGCTGGCACAGTCAGGAAAGGTCAAGCTTGCGGACTTTGGTGTTGCGGCTCAGCTAACAAACATAAAATCGCAAAGAAATACATTTGTGGGAACTCCATTCTGGATGGCACCAGAAGTTATACAGCAAGCTGGGTATGACTTCAAAGCGGACATCTGGTCATTAGGGATAACAGCTATGGAAATGGTCAACGGAGAGCCGCCAAATGCTAGCACGCATCCGATGAAGGTACTATTCCTGATACCAAAGGCGCCGGCACCGAGACTTGAGGGGAGCGGCTATAGTCGAGATTTTAAGGAGTTCGTTGCGGCTTGTCTCGTGAAAGATCCAGACCGCAGGCCAACTGCAAAAGAACTCTTGCAGCATCGGTTCATCAGAAGCGCTGGGCGGGTAGAAGGTCTGCAAGAGCTCATTCAGCGTCGACAAATGTGGGACAGCAGCAGGGGAAGGCAAACCCACCCAAGATACTACGAGGAGACGCTGGGTTCAATGCTAGTAATGGAAGAAAAAGAAGATTGGGTATTTGATACAATCAAAGCTCCCACAATGGTGATGTCAAGCCAAACGCAGAGGCACACCCAGAAGCGCCGAAAAATGTCAATTGTACACGATGAAATGCAAGAAGGCCCAGAGACTATCCTCGGCCGGCTGACCCTAGAGGATTCGCAGCCAAAACCGGAGTCGACCTTATCAACAATGCGAAGAGCAACCACGAAGCGTCGATCGTCACCAACAGGAGCTGGGTCTCCTGCTAAACGAAGATCAAGCGGACAGAAGCAGCCTCTGGCGCCTTGTACGGATTTTGGAAATAGCGGATCCACAATGAGACAGTTTCGACGTGTGTCAGAAAACTCTCCAGAAGTAGCGCCCAACGCATCTCTGGCGGAAAGAGATGAGAATCACCACCCAATGGCCGAAACAGTGACCAAAGAGGTGCTACTCGGGCGAAGGGCCTACTCGAGAGCTGTTGATCAAGCCTTGCAAGAGACGTACGCGCAGACAGGAAATCAGATCAAGCGCGAAGCTATCTCCCGAGTAGCACTTGCGTGGGACACTTTAGACAAAGAGGACCCCGAAGGAGAATACCACCTTCTGAAGCTCATAATAGAAAAGGTCCAAAAGTAGGTTTGAGATCAAAGACTTGACCAAGCGGGCCAAAACTGATGTGGTCTCAGTGATCCGAAGCTGTCAGGACTCCTGCCACCGTCACAACCAGTAACGCCCCCGAAGCCAAAACTCGTTTTAGCTCAGAATAACCCCCATCTCAAGAGTCACCGTCGCCGCCAGTCCTCGCTGCTGCCGGCGGATGATGTGTGGACAGTTAAACAACTACAGCTGCCTGGACAGCTTGTTGACGGGATGGACCACACAAAGCAATTAGCTGATGTTTTGTATGGCAAGTGGGCCGAAGGTCTAAAGAACAGGTGGCCGAATCTTTGAGTCTCGGAGGACACATGGCAACATTCACTCTGCGCATCTTGAGATCTTTCAGCTTTCCATTGTTCAACATTCAAACAGGATGCATAGAGCACGGCGTTAGTTATACCGTGCTGGGCATATCGACACCTCAGTCCTTCAGACTCTGGCCACATTGGGTATGTGTTCCAGGATAGGATAACAAAGGACGAAATAGAATTGGATTTCTGTGGACAAGTTGGCCGGCGATTCTTTTCACTGTGCATATTTGAACCTTTCGGCAGGATGGAGGCAACCCTGACTTCTGTAACATATTGCGTGGCTTGCGATTTTACTTGCAATATAGTTCCTACCTTGATTGCTCTATGGTTTTTAGCCTGTGATGCACGAACATGTTGATGAGTAGAGCTTGTTGTTGGAAATGCCTCTGAACAACTCAGTAGTGACTGGATGCAGTGCTAGCGCTGGTTAGGTTTCTCACGCCGGAGAAAGCCCCGGCCTTAGTCCCATGCTCCCCATGCCATGCTAACCTCATCTACGACTTTGATCTGCCCATATTGAACATAGCTGCCGAAATCGATAAATGGAACACTCTTCCGCAATCACCTGAGGTGATCATGGTACACATTGCGACTCGACGATCGTCCTCGCCAATGGTTGGGTTATTCATTGACCGCGTACGCGTATAAATAAACAATTTTTGGTACATATGCGTAGACAGCTGCACATTTGTCCTTCATTGCCATAGCAGCAGTCACAATGTCTGACACTACTCACCCATCGCTGCCGCGGGCGACCCTTTAACTCCGTTTGGACTCCACAGCTGTAAAAGGACGAAGCCTTGAAATGTCCCCCAGTCGCTCCTCTGTACGCTCAAGTAGTAGCCAGTCCCAAGCGCATACCCCATCCTCATCAGTTCCGAATACACCACTGCTTCCTACCGGGCCACCGACCCCCGAAAAGAGGTCACCGTATCCAGCAGACTCGATTTCCTTTCTCATAGCATTGGCAGCGCAAGAAAGACGCGTTCTCGAGCTGAGGGAGGAGCTACACAAGGCAGATGAAGACTTGGAGAAGCTGAAAAAGCAATGGGCTGTGCATGAAGCAACGAAAAAGAAAAATGAGCTGCGGCATTTGCAGCAGCTGCAACCCCTCAATACACCACCGCTCGGGTCAGGAATGCCTAGTGACGACGATTCAGCACGCCCCAGTAGAGAACTTGATAGACGGAGAATCACACCATCTAGTATCAAGCCTTCGTATCGAACGGTTTTCGCTGGATCTAGACACACCCGGGCTCTCTCTTTACTATCCCCCAGAGATCCGAGAAGTCACTCGGACCTTCTACTACGTGCCATGGGACCATCGAAACCCCACCAGGCTGCAGCCAATGATGTCGCAGTGCCCGCTACAGTCCATGATCTTTCTCCCTTGGACGTCGAGTCAGGCTCGGAGATATTGGAGACTGGCAAGCAGCTCGTCGGCGACTTTCGGCAGGGACTCTGGACCTTCTTTAAAGACTTCAAGCAGCTTACTGTCGGAGACGAAGGCGTTGCTACTGCTGGTCTGCGTAAACGCCCCGTCATAGCTCCTGGAAACATGCCAAGGCGGCAGAACATGAAAGAGAAAAGACCAGCTCTTGATGAAAGTCCATTCAGGACGGCGGGAGCTTTGGACGTTGAGCGAGAACCATCGAGAAAGCGTCAGATCGAGTTTTCTGATTCTAAGCAGGGAGTTGGTAGCTCCCTGGATAGACCTACGGAAGCCGTTGTGCCTACTTCAATCCTCACAGATGATAGACCCGAAGGTGGAGACAGTTCCAACTTCAGCGATTCTGATGGCGACGGATGGGACAACTCGGACACCCCAGAGAAACCGGACACCCCAAAGAAAGGACCTTGTTGATGGACACGACTCAATGGCATCTTCTCTGACGGACAGAAGCAGCCCAAGAACAAGCATGAGGTGAGTAAATTCGGCTTTCGTGAGTTGTAGAAGGTTAAAGCTAAGGCATCTCGAAAGCCTTTGTGATGCAACTCCTTGCCCCAAGAGTCGGCGTACCTCTATTCAAGATAGAGATGACATACCGTGGCCACCGCTCACCAAGTTGACCCGGGAGGCCCGAAGAGAGGCCCGAAGAGGGCCGCTTCTACGTTGATGAGCGAATGGAAGAGGAGTCTTGCGCCGAAGATTCATGATGAAGCTAACCCTTCAGCTAATTTAGCGTCGACAGACGACAAGACGGGTTAGTTCTCACACATCAGATATAAATTCGCCGTAGCAGTTAAATATCAGATACGACTTCATCGTTGGATGAGGCTTGCAGAACGTCAATCGTCATACGGTCCAATATCATGAAGGGCTGTACTTGGAGAAGGACAGGTTTGCGCGAAATGCATTTGAAATGCAAGAGCACCAACCTTGAGTACAGAAAAAGGCGAGAGCTGTCTCCACGAACCCTATCCTTAGCTATCCTACTTTATCCTTAAGTTACCCTTCACGGAGGACTTTCTTCTTACCTTCTCGGTCTATCAAAGTCGGGTGGCCTGTGTGCACTCCAAGTTACTCGAGTCTCACGCAAGGCACAATGGTCTCTGTTGCTTGCAGATCTGGACTGCCTTGCCAAGCTTGCCCAAGAAACATGCGCGTGCTATATCAGCATTGCGCTCATGGTGGCTCTCTATGCTCTCGTCCAGACCCGAGCAGATTATGAGAGGACGGAAGGATACCGAGAATGCCAAGACTTGTCAGCCCTACACTAGCTGCCGCTGCTAATCTTCCAAAATCTCGTCCTAGCTAAGACCAGCGAAAGATTCTGTGTGAGGACCAAGTATGAGTTTTCCTGGGATGCCAAGTGGCGCCGGTGGCGGAGTTGGAGGTGCCACCGCTGGTATGAGTGACCAAGAAGCAACGATGGTCAAAGCTGTGAGCCCAAGCCTGCATGACATACAGAGCCAAGACGCGGCTGACAGTCTTTCGATGGTAGATGCAAGGAGCCATGGAAAGCTGTCCTTTTAAAACCGTTATTTCGGGGGGAATGGGCTTTGCTCTTGGAGGAGCTTTCGGCTTGTTTATGGCGAGCGTACGTGGCGCTAGCGCTGAAGATTTGGCGTCAACATGTTGTCGCTAATATGGAGGTCTTCTATTTTCAGATGAGCTACGATACCCCCTTGAGTGCCTCTGGCCAACAGCTTACCGACCTGCCGTTGCGGGAACAACTGCGAAGGGGCTTCAGAGACATGGGTTCGCGGTCGTTCGGTTCTGCGAAAAACTTTGGCTTGGTGGGCGCCATATTCGCTGGGACCGAGTGCTGCATTGAAGGCGTGGGTTCTTATCCACATGAGTCTCACGAGATACGGGATTAATGATGGCTCTAGTACCGGGCGAAGAATGACCTTACAAACAGCATAACTGCAGGATGTATCACGGGAGGTGTTCTCGGTGCAAAAGCGGGCCCCCAGGCCGCTGCTATAGGGTGCGTTGGCTTCGCAGCGTTCAGTGCTGCCATAGATTCATACACGCGCAAGGATTAAGAGACGAAAAGGGAAGAGCAGAGGGTATGGGATAGGCGTTTATAGTGGGAGCAAGCATAGCGCGGCGTTTTCACTCCATGCTCGATCGACTCCACTATCAGAAAGTTGGTTTCCATGAGTAGGGCGGCGCTCCGAGGGCAACAAGGTACCATTAGAAACCAAATACCCAGACAAGAAATTGTCAGCAAAGCCTACAGTGTAACTGGCCATTAACCCAACATTCTGAAGGCAAGAGATACTGCTTGCGTTTCCGTGTTGGAACGGATGAAGCTTGGTGCTGGGGACACAACGGATATATAGAAGTTAAGATACTCAGAGATTGTACCGAGGAAATCGATCGACGAGGTCGCAACTTTCATTCGTAGAGCTTGCCGAACTTGCAGATATCACCACCAGTCACGGAAGGCGATATATGAGAGTACAGCGATTGGATGATGTCAACAATGGGCTTCTTCAAAACTTTATAATAGATTCATCTCGTTGCTAGTTTCTTCGAGTCGAAGTCTCGCAATGCAATTTAGCTATTCCGTTGAAGAGCCACTCAATAGAGAACCGCCCGTGCACGACTTGGTGTCGAGGTGAGCAGCATAAATAGGAAATATCTAGAATTTGTTGACTCCATGCAGTTTCTTTACAATCGCAGGTAACTACGATAGGAACCACGGGCCAATCCCCCATATAGCTGCTGAGGACCATATTGTTAAAGTCAACGGCCTTGTTCATCGACCTCTCGAGCTCTCGATTGAGCAGCTGAGGAGTCGGTACACGCAGCATGAGATCATTAGCGCTCTTCAGTGCGCTGGTAATCGACGCCATACCATGCGCACACTCCTCAAAGAGGTTGATGGGATCGATTGGGGTGATGGAGCCGTCATGAACTGCAAGTGGAGGGGACCCAAGCTCAAAGATATTCTAGATACCGCAGGAATCAATGTTCGGGATCGCAAAGGGGCCCATGTTGCATTTGCTTGCTACAAAACTCACGTTCAAAATTCGGAATGGTACGGAGGATCAATAGAGTTGGACAGGGCGTTGAGAGACAATGCAGATGTCTTGATTGCACTTGAGGTATTCTCGCTTCGTCAAACAAACCTTTGACGGTGCTTATGGCCCCTAGATGAACGGCGAGCCGCTCTCTATCAACCACGGCTTCCCCGCCAGAATGATCGTGCCTGGAGTGTCAGGATGTCGCTCTGTTAAGTGGGTAGATGAGATCACTGTGCAATCGGAAGAGTCAAGGAATCTCTATCAGCGCTATGACTACAAGAGACTACCACCCGAAGCCATGGACACGGAAAGCGCGAAGCAGTATTGGAACCAAACCTCAGCCCTTCAGGATATGCCAATCAATTCAGTCATCGCAGAACCCCAAAGTGGGGACACGGTCAGGCTGCCACCTTCAGGAAGAATCGAGGTTGAGGGCTATGCACTTCCCCAGGGTGACCAGGGACCGGTGGTGAAAGTGGAATGCTCGACAGATGAAGGGCAGACATGGGAGGCGGCTGAGATATTGAGTGGCAATGATCTTAAGGCGAAATGGTGTTGGGCATTGTGGAAGGCTACAGTTCGGCTTCACAAAGGGAAGAAGCGACGATTATTGTCTCGAGCCACTGACAACGGAGGAAACGTACAAACCGGTGAACCGGTAAGATCGAATTTCCATCTCCACCTACTTGAGACTACTGGCACATCTGACAACTCTCAGGTGTGGAATTTGAGAGGGGTAGGCTATGACGGGTATGGGGAGTCGAGAGATCTTATTGTGGTCTGAGAGGAGAAGGAGGAAGGGTATGAGTTTCAGAGGACGCAGCACCAGCCAGCATTTTTGCTTCCCATTCCCAATGATAATAATCAGATATTCGTCATGAACAGTCCATCAAGATAAAAGATAATGCAAAGGAATCACCATACTCTCGTCACTGACTCTCAAGCTGCGTACATTGAATAAGTATCAACTTGGGCCGACCAAACCTTTGTGATGAATCAACTTATCGAGCAGGGGCGCCACGCGACTAGCTTGGAAACCCTTGACGCCACAGAGCTTAGTCTACAGTAGTGCATCCCGCCTCTGGGTCTCTGGCTCTACCCACGACATTAGCGCGTTAACTATAAGTACCTACCTTAGATTATCATTTGACACTCGCCTTCTTTGTCAAAGTAAAATGGAAGCGAAAGCAGTACCAACAACGTTGAGCCTGTTAAGGTCACAACTTCTCCGTCGTTCTTCCTTTGTCGGTATGTCCCCGGAACGAGGGATTAGACTCACCCCCGAAACTCCCGCGACAAGTCCACACGGCATTCTGGATGACCGCGTAGCATTGCTGGTCTACTAATCCCAACCTTTTCCGCAGCTTCCTCCGAGAGCCTTCCGAATGCCGGGTCAGATAGGGTCGGAGACGAGCGCTTCGGATGCAACGCGCTTTCATGCATCCGATACTACCAACGCTCATGACGAAGGGCAGACTTCACCAAGCGACGATGGAAGCATAGAAAAGATGCCAGGTCCGTCGAAGAGGAAACGCCTCTCCGGCCTCTCTCGGCGGACCAGGGCAAAGACAAGAAATCTTTTCAAAATGGACGGTGCCGCGGAGGACGACCGGTCTGAGAACGAGGGAGAAGGGCCTCTAGACGATATGAAACGCGATCCTGCTTTCAATAGCAGCCAATTAATCAAGAAAAAGCGATTTCGCCCGGGGAAGACCGCCGACAAAACGCTCGGGGCAATTCAGTCGATCGGCAACGCCGTTGTTCACCCTATAAAGTCTGCCAAAAGCACGGCTACCAGGACCACTGCTGGTCAACTATCCAAAGCCGAGCGTCCTTTCCTCTCTCAGAAAGCCGACATGGAGTTTCTTCAGGCCCACGACAATCTCAAGCGCGCAGAGTCCACAAGCTCATCGAAGCAGGGCACGTCTGATGAGGAGCGAGAGTCCCTGATTGGTGGTCATCGAGACAAGATTCGAGAAATGGAAGAGCAGCGTGAGGGTCTACGTGCGGCGTGGACGACTAGTCGCCATGTCAGAAGGGTGAGAGTAGTCCCAAAAAGGCATATCAACTTTCCACACAACGAGTATTTTGTGGAAAGGGACGAGCGTGGAGAATTCGTACGCTACGACTGGCTGAAATGGCTAGGATATGTAATTCTGCATCGTTCCGGGTTTTAGACCAGAGTCCTAACGTCACGCGATAGAATCTCATCTACTACACCCAAGACTTCAGCGCTCAATACATTGACGATTTTGAAGAGCTTCCCTTTGACATTGATAGCTCAAGACATTATGTTGAACGATTGATAATGGCCAGTGCACCTTGGCAATCATGGGCTATGAAGGTTCGTGCAGTCTATCGATGGGAGCACCCTCGAACTACTGGCGAGTGGTTTGCTCTTTATGTATTTCTCTGGTACACCCAACATATAATGGGCTTCCTAGTAAGCATAACAGTTTCCGTTGGAACTCATGCGTTAACGTGGGGAGATAGTATTCTTACATCATCTACATTGTGGTCATGAATCGTTACTATCCTACCACGGTCGAGTCTCTTCGAAAATCTCAGCGAAGAGCTTTCGATAGCAGCGTCAGCGCCAACATGTTCAGCGAATTGATTGATAAGCACGGACGTAATGATTGGCTCGATCCAGTCATGGATAGCTTGGGACCTTATGTTCAGCTTCAACTTGGTGGTACGTCTACATATCAGAGCTGTTTCTTCCTAATCTGTATCCCAATCCGAGTCTTAAGACTTGTACCGAGAGTATCGTTCTCATCGGGCTTGTTTGTGACTCCTTTTCCCTTCCAAAGAAGCAGTACTGACTAGGAAAACTTGAAGACATGGCCAATATGCTTGAAGTCTTTTCCAAGTGAGTATCTTCTCTCCATCACAGCAATTCAATCGCGAGCGCTTATCGATCCCTAAGCTTTTATCATTGGAAACACCCTAAAAAGACTGTCGCCTCCCTCTATTTCTTTGCATCATGTCTCCTGGTATCAGTTCTCACCGACATGGAATTCTGTATGCAGATCGTCTGGTTCATTGTTGGGGGAGCTTTCTTTCTCTGTTGGCCGGTGTCGTCCCACTACCCGAAGTACCGATATCTGGTTTCCCCATTTAAATGGGTGCTTTGGGATATCCCGACGAACGCAGAATGGTCATTCATCTACTTGAGACGCAAAGCACAGATCACCCGTGAGCGAATCATAGAAAAGAAGGTCGAAGAAGGCCACTTCCGGGAGCTCGCCAGTGCTGCAGTAAACGAGTATACGGGACGCATGACAAATGTGCCTAAAATTAAGGTAGGGGGCAGTGGTTCGGAAGACGAAAACAGTGACGACGATGACGATGAAGGCTGGTATAGCGCGTGCTCAACGACCAGCGTCTTGGATGCTTCTGACATTCGATCCTTCCGATGTCAGTCACATAAAGTCATTGGGCGACTGATTATACATTCGAAAGGGATTCGCTTTGTTAGAAGTCTACCGAAGAAGGAGTTGTGGAGACGGGATTACCTCGACCTGGCGGAGATGAGAAAGGTGGAAGGGTCAGCGATGTCAAAGCTGGCTTCATTATCGCCCGATGAACTTGAGATTAAATGTATCGACGGAAGCAAGATGCACTTTGAGGGAATGAAGGAAAGAGATGAGGCATTCAATACCGTGATTGCTTATTCGGGGATGCAATGGCAGAGCCTGCAAATTCTAAGCAATACCAAAGCTCAATCCTGAGACATATCATCTGAGGTAACGGGCGCATGACACGAGACGGCGAAACAGCTAGACGTGCTCTTTTGCCAAGGTGATGAAAGCACGGCCTCTGAACGTTGAATTCACCCTTCGCGCAATGAGTACCCAGGTGTATTAGAAAGTCGGAGGGTAAGTTGCCCTTATAATAGACCTTAAAAATGCTCACGCCCCAGAACATCCAACAAATAATTGCAGGGTCAAAGCCTTTTCTTCGTTGGTATGTTCGAACCTTCAATAATATCAATGTTGTTTCGAGCACTGCGTCAGGCTGGACACTAAAATCAAGGTATAAGGTACCTTATATATATCAACCTGATCAAAGTTTGAAAATTCAAAAATTCAACGTACCAATTATCAAGACTTGAAGTTCCGCCTGTCTTATTAGACTAAATGACATAATTGCTGAGGAGTGGTGCTGGCCAAAGCTAACGACTCGTGTTAGTAGTGTATAAGCCTCAGAGATCCGAAAGAAAGATTGATCTTCCCGTGCTCTCTCTCTCTCTCTCTGTTATCTGGTAATTCGCCTAAACTGCGAGCTTTCCCCTCTCTCTATTTAAGACCATCGCCCGTCCCTTCGCTCATCAAGCATTCACTCCAACTCATTGTTAAGCTTTCATCCTACGCCAGGAAGAAGAAGAAGAAGAAGAAGAAGAAGAAGAAGAAGAAGAAGAAGAAGAAGAAGACAACGTAGGCAATCTCGTACTTCGCTGTTGGCACTCTTGATACTCTTGATACTGTATTAGGAGCCGCTCCGGGATCAAGAGCAAACAGATACCCATCTTACAGTAAATTGAAATTTTCAATCCTCGATACATGTGAGCATCCATTCCTTCCGTCTGAAGGTCCTACGCCAACGTATTCGCAGACGAGGGAACAGCTTTCTTTGACAGCTTCGAATAATTTCACTGGAGACGATCCGAGTCACGGTTTCATTCAGTGAGTAGCATCAGCCGACTCTAATTCTGTGTGCTAAAGACTGATTGTCTCAGCTACGTCAATCAACAAGGCTCCGTTGAGCAGAAGCTGACCTTTGCATCTGCCAACTCGGTAATACTACCGTTGATACAACTGATGAGGATGCCAGTACGGGCCGTGATTCGGTCCAAATCACCAGAAAACAGACATTCGATTCAAGCTTGTTCATATTCGACATTCTTCACACACCAAACGGCTGTGGGACTTGGTAAGCAGAAGAAGAAATCTACGCGGGGCTACCGGTGCGAAGATGTGCGTAGGCCTGCTATATGGACTGCAGATCCCTCGTCATGGCCCAAGACTGGTGGGATAGATGTCCTCGAAGCGGTCAATAGCGCAACCACGGGCAATCAGACGACTTTACATACAAGCAACGGATGCACTGTGCATGCCAAGCGCAAGGAGTTGGGCAAGGTCTTGACCAGAGATTGCTACAACGGAACAGATTCAAATGCAGGGTGCGGCGTCCAAGGGCCAGACGATACTTTCGGGGAAGCACTCAACAACAATTGTGGTGGTGTGAGTAATCAATAAATCAGATCATGGCGCAAGGCAAATGTTAAATAAGTTTCCATAAGTCTATGCAATGAAACTTCGTACCGTCGGCATCAGAGTGTGAATTTTTAGACGAGACTCCCTCCCAACAGACATCAGCGATGGCTGATCCATCATCCTAGAGCACCCCGCTTACAGAGTTTCCTTCCGCTGATTGCTCCATCACCGACCATTTTACTAACCAGAGCATCATCATGAATAATGATCTATGTGGCAACTGGGCTAGAGAAGAGAATTTCTTTATGTCGAACACTGTTTGTTCAAGTTCGGCTAGCACCAATCAAGGATCATCGTTGTCGGCGTGCGAGACGATTGTAGCAACCAACGGAATAAATCTCGCCGAAGCATACTGGGGACTCGGTAGTATCAAAGTGTATCAGTCTCAGTGATGAGTGCTTCGGGGCGAATCATGATCAGAAGGGTTATCGACTGAGGGGAAATCAGAGGTTTTCAACGAGTGGCTTGCTTTGTCTGCACTTTCTCAAGCAGGCCGATATCATGTGTAAAAAACAACGGTCCTAGACTGGATAGAGAATTCGCTTTTTAGCCAAACCCTAAGTCGTCCTTGAACAATCGTGTACAACACACTGTATAGGTCCGTCAAGATATAGGCTAAAGGCCAGACCAACTTTGCATATGGGCATCTCACTATTCAACACGCGGTTTTCGATGATCAGTGTGCCCCCACAAGCGTCATGATGCACAGCAAGTCATAATCCGTAACCGGAAGACCTCACCCCTGCCAAAAAGATACCCTTAATGGCAAACACATTTGTTCTGACGTCCATTATGCGTCTTCCCTGGATTCTGCTTTCGATTGTTTGCGCGTCTCAGCCCATCCATGCGTCGAAATCTCTTGTGTCCTTCTTGGCTTTTGGACTCCCTGACCGAGGATCTTCACTGGGCACGGCCAAAAATCCTCCAAATCCATTACCTACCATTACGCTCTCTCTTCCTTTGTCCCTCCACTGAGGACTCAGTTGGTTATCAAGATACAAACTCATTGGTCTTGTGGTGGTCGCGGTAGCGTAACGATCCGCTAGCGTTGGAGGGCTAATGAGGGTAAGATTCCACTCCATTTCAGGGACAGCTTTGGTGTACAGACGAAGAGGGCGAGAAACTACAGGAGTTACAGGCCGGTATGCCTTGCTGGTTCCGTTCACTGCGAAAGCGGGCTGTGGAGGCGGTAGGAGCATCGTCGGAAGCGCAGTGGAAAGGGCGTAAAGGTGTGACAGAGAGGGCAAAGCACCGCTGAGAATGGAGCTGGAAAGGTAACTATAGTAATTGTCCGACAGAGATGAGAGCCCGCGAGGCGATGAATCTGCACTAGAGATCTCGTAGTAGAGATTGCGAAGCGAGCAAGAAGCTAAGGGTGGAGATTGCGACTGTGGGAGTGCACGAGCTACGCTCTCCGCAACGCGAAGGGTGATGAGAGAGGGAGCAGCGGCCAAGATTTGGAAGAGATCCGAGGGTAATACACCAGTATTTGTCAGAGTTAGGGAGCTGAGAGTTTGTTTGGCCTTAGGGCAAGAGAGGTAAGCTAAGAGTCCTTTGGCTGAGATTTTGGGGACATCTTGGAATTCCAGTACTGCCAGCGGCGGAAACGGGCTCATGTGCAAAGAGCTGAAGATACTGTCGTCGAGCGACTGAAGACTTGTGAACTTGATGTGGCGAAGAGCCTTGAGAGAGGCAAAGACGTCAGCGATTGTGGCCGGTATAGCAAGATGTAATAATTCAAGTGCCTCTAAATTCGGCCACTGCCTTGCCCCCGCCAACATCTGAAAGCTCGCTTCCGCACCGCCGGCATACTTCATCTGCCGGATATCTCCGCACCGAGCCTGCAGCTCCTGTCTCAGAGTGTTCGACGATGGGTCATCGTTATAGAAACCGTCAGGCAAATCAACGTAGCGGAGGTTCGGCAGGACTGAGACAGTGCGTGCCAGATCTGCTTTGCACACCTCCCTTGTCATGTAGGGAATCTTGAGGTATTGCACTTGACAAGCCAGAGAGTAATTCTCTCGGACGGACCTAGAGAAGAGGTGTAGCCGTTCCTGCGGAGGGTCTTTAGGGGCGCCATTACGGCCAATGGAGGGTCGCCTTTTACGTTTGGCAGATAGGTCTACTTCTCGCTCGCAATAATGGACGGTATCGATCCGCACATTATGATACCTGTGAAGGGTGACTTAGCCTAAGGCGAGCATTGCTGAGTGCAAAGCCTTCCCCCCACTTGAAAAGTACTCACAAGAGGTTTTGCGCCGCCTCTGACAATTGCCTATTGACCAAGGCGCATTGTGAAAGGTCTCTCATATCGCATAGCATACATCCTCCATCAATCATCGACTCCTCACAGGAGGTATAGAAGTCGTCTCGCGAGTGCGGGCACACATAGCTAAAGAGCTCGGAAAGCAAAGTTGTCGAGAATCTAGCGGATGGGTGGGGCTTTGGCAGACGATTCAGTGTGTCTGTTGGCGGCCATTTATATTGATTGTCAGTCCAGGTATCATCAGTGCTCTTAAGACGTGATCGTGTGCGGATATGGTCGAGGAGTTTCATCACGCCGTTGATGCTCGTCCCACAGATCAGGGCTCATGGGAATATGCGGGGCCCGGACACGGGGACGCGTTTGCCGCGACGCCTCAAAACGTGGCTTATTTCTTGGCTGGAACACCGAGTACGAGTACTTCTGTTGTGAACTTGATACTGAAGATGTGAAGATGAAGATGTGAAGCGCTCCTTAGTAAAGAGTTGGAACCCTTTTGCCTAACAATTCCGCTAGACGATTTGGTACATGAACTGGCCAATAAAACAAAGGTATTTATGAAATACAAAAATAGCGATTCAAAATGAAGACAAGCCCCCCCCCACCCATTCCTCGTCTTGTTTGTACATGAGCAGACGTGGTTGAAACCTAAGCCAAGGTTATCTTGAAAGGACCCGAAAGATGCTTGGTTCTCGGACAAAGAGCGCTTTCTATTTAATATGAGCTTGGTTGATTCATTCCAGGAAATGATGAAAAACTTTGTTGGTCCAGACGTATCCTTCAGCTTCCTCACAAGATGCTTCGGTTCATTTGACTCAAGGTGCTCATCGCTAGACGCCCATCATGGACCTTATAATGTAGTAAGTTTATCTATTCTCTGACACATACGTGTTGCAAATACGATCAGAGTGTTCTCGCATCTTTATGATCAGTATTAAGATCAAGGTGGAGCACGCATGTTTCAAATTCTAGCTCCCACGTATGAGCGCAAGCATCTTCGAAAATCGAAATAGATCGTAGTCTCTGCTGGTCGTGCTGGACAGGGTGACCAGTCAGGGAACCTTGTAATCAACACCCTGATCAGGTTTGCTTCAATGATGATCTACCATCTGGTACAAACACGTTCTCATACCCAACCCAATATGGTGACTCCAACAAATGAAGAGAACATAGTAGTGGACAAGTAAACAATGCAGAAGCAAGCAATAGCATGAGTGGAAAAACGGACCAGAACATGTATCATCGCCTTGATAATTGATGCTCGATACTCGACAGAAGCATGATAAGTTCTGATGACCCTCGTACATAAAGTACCTACGAGCGTGGTGCATACCTGCACTCTGCAGGAGGTGTAGCAGGACCTGAAACTGCCTAGTGGCGTTTCCCGACGGGGCCCGAAGCGAGATCACGTTGTTTCCTCTCGTGACAATTTCACCATCAATAGCCGACCAATTATTGCCAACCTCAGACCTCCTATCATTGATATTCCCTTCCTCCTCCCTTTCTACCTTTCTACCTTCTCACCCCAGTCGCTCCTTCAGCACCTCTCCTACAGCCACGATCTCGCGTTTACAGCAGTCCAGGAGACTTCAATTCCCGCCCATCCAATTTTTGCCTTCCAAACACCTCCGCCGCTCCTATCCATCAAGCGATACCTCCAAACGGCCAAGGCTTACCCTGCTGTCTGAGTAAATAATATCGCACTACACGTCAAAGGCATTATAAGCCTGGGCTATCGGCATGTCAAGCACTCAGGGGGCAAAGCCTGATATTGACCGCTACTTGGTTATTCATGTTGGTACTACTTGCGACGAACACGGCGTCTACGTGACCAAAGACTCCGCCGAGGTCATCGAGATTGGTTGGCTTTTGCTAGACGCCAAAAATTGTGAGGAGGTAGGTTATGGTGATATTTGGGATTACATAATTCAGCTAGCTCATATGCCACGTTATAGATTCATCGAGAGAGTGTCCTTGTCAAGCCTGTCAACACTCCCATTACTCCGCTTTGCAGTGAGTGTCACTCGCGACCCCCACCAAGCTTATACTATCTGTTGCCTCTTTGCTGATCTTCCACAAGCGAGCCTGACCACTCTCACCTGGGAGCATGTACGGACAGCAGGCACCTTCCGAGATGCCATCAACCGCTTTGACGCATTTGCTTCCGAGCATCTGACCTCCAAGAGCCTCGAATTCGCTTTCGTTACCCTCGACTCATGGGATCTTCGCGTGCAGCTTCCCCGCGAGGCGCGAGACAAGGCTGTTGTGCTTCCTGCCTACCTCCAACACTCTCGCACCTTTGATCTACGTACCGAGTATCAACGCTGGCAGCAACACCACCCCGAGTCTCTGCCATTTGGCCCAAGCTCTCTGGCGAACATCTGTGCAGCGTTGGAGGTCGAGCCTGTACAATCTTCCGCCCCGATCAAGCACAACCTCCCATTCCATCTGCAAGCTCTTGCGCCAGCTTCTCCTCGTCGCGCCATGGAAGAAGCGGTGACTCTAGCTAGGGTATTGCGTGGGCTCATCAGAAAGTCTCAGCCACCTCACGAGCATCCCGACGTACTGAGCCGGCCGATGGACGCAAGGGCCGACGTTCGTGCATTTCTCTCGGAGCGAAGTAAGGTACTACACATGAGCGGACTGCCCCACGACACTACTCAGTCCGAGCTTGAGAGCTGGTTTACCCAGTTCGGCGGTCGTCCGATTGCCTTCTGGACTTTACGTACGCCAGACCAGCACAAGCCTACTGGATCGGGGTTCGCTGTTTTCTCTTCGCACGAGGAGGTTAGTTGTTTCTATTTCTTGCAAATATTATTCTATGTGCACTACTTCACCCCCATGTCTCCGATTCAAGCACTCGTACCCACCGTACCTTGCATCTCCGAACGCCTATCAACTGACAACATCTCAGGCTGCAGAGAGTCTATGCATGAATGGGCGTGCTCTCAATGAGAAAGCAATTGAGGTCTCGCCTTCATCAAGCCGTGTACTTGATCGTGCCGCCGAAATCCTGACGCCGTTCCCTCCAAGCAAGAATCGACCTCGACCTGGAGACTGGACTTGCCCTTCATGCGGCTTTTCGAACTTTCAGCGTCGTACAGCATGCTTCCGCTGCTCCTACCCCGCTGCAGGACCTGGCGGCGATCCAATGGGTTACTCAAACTATGGCTATGGTCCTCCTCACATGATGCCCCCTCAACAACACATGGGACATCACGGTGGACATGGCATGGGCCACGGACGTGGTGGAGGGGGTGGCATGGTTCCATTTCGAGCTGGCGATTGGAAATGTGGTTCTGAAGGCTGTGGATATCACAATTTTGCCAAGAATGTCAGTTGCCTCCGCTGCGGTGCTAGCCGTGCTGGGGCGGCAGTTGTAGCAGATTCAGCATTCCCATCTCCGCTTGAGCCACCATCGGGATATGGCATGGGTCCGCCTTCGATGGCTGGTACCCCGGGACCAGGTCCCTTCGCTGGTGCCTCGGGCGGCTTCGGCTCCGGCGGCTTTGGCGGCCAGCAGTACGGCGGGCCACCTAGTCAATACGCTCTACCCTCCGGCCTCGGTGCTCCGACTGGTGCCTATCCTCCTATGGGCGCTGGATACGGCCAAGGGCAGTCCGGTGGGCCGTTCGACAGTAGGGCTGCTGAAGCCGCTTTTACATCTGCTGGCACTGGCCCTTCTCCTTCTACCGGTGCTCAAAACGGATCATCAGCTTACAGCGGTACTGCCACATACGGCGGTATAGACGGGGGCTCTGATCCTTTTGCGTTCCTCTCGTCCGGTCTCGGAGGATTGTCGATGAACGACGACTCCCGGAGGAACGGCGCCAACTCGAACAAATCACCTGTTTAAGCGTGCAAAACCTATACTCTTCACGCGCTAAGAGCCAACTTCTGGAGCAATCTAATTACGCAACCGTGATGGGCCGAGGAGGGAACCTTGTATTTGTGTGAGTGGGACCGGTTCATTTCTCAAAAAAAAAAGCGGGGGAAGGGGGGGATTTACATGCGGACGCGACCTATTCAGGATAAGCATGACGATAGATCTCCACGTTTGGTCAAGCATAGCGGGATACGGCAGCAGAAAGCGGTGTTGGTTGGAGGACCAAAAGAGTGGGCGATTTAGAATGGTGGTTCGCGCGCATTTCGAGCTTCTTTCCTCCATTTCTTTCTTCGATTTCCTCGTCACGAAACATTCAGCAAATGCACGGCTCATCTTGATACTATTCCACTAAGACGATCTCGTCGGTGGCTTTGGACGTTGGCTATATTGGCATTACAAAGAGCGTGGTGTTTGCGTGGTGGGCAATCGTTAGACACATGCATTCAACAAATACAGGGCACTTTACAAGTGCAAAGTATTTACGGAGGGGTGGGGGAGGGGGGTTGGTGGCAGGAGTACAGATTTCTTCGGTGGTGTAGTCGGATGGAATTACAAGGCTTAGATGATCGAGTTTGGGTTTGGACAGGTAGAATAGCATAGCATAGCTTCAATTTATCCCTTTCCGAGACCTTTGAGAATCACTTTCAGTTACTGCTGCTTTGTGGTGGGTGAGAAGGTAATGATTGATTAACATTATGATGACCTGCAGTGCTTCCGTTGGCTGTCGGACCGTTGACAACTTGAATGCAGTCTGAGAGTGAGAGCCTCAAATCCTCGTGGCAAACAAATCGGCAACTAATCGGCTGCTCGGCACGGATACAGATCTAAAAAGTTTAAAAGTATTTTACTTTTTTCTTTACTTCACCAGCTTCACGTTCCATTGTTCAGAATTCATAAGATCCTTAAGTCCGAGCCGAGAACACAAAATTATGCAAAGCATGAAAGATCGTCATTAAGCATCATTCATCAATCCCGTTGGTGACATTCTGCTTTCATTATTTTACATGGCGAAGTT